CACACACACACACATTTTTCTTACATATTATTTGATCCAGTATGACCCTAAAATTAAACTCATTTAAACTATCCTTCACACACACAAAAAGTTTAATAGTTTATCCAAATGAATCATCAGGAAAAGTTCAATTGGTGTAGAGTTTGGTTCTTTTATCCAGGAATTGCAAAAATAATTATATTAATAAAAATTGCACATATCCGTTAAGAGAAACGCTTCATTGTTATATTTTTTTTCTAATTATAAAATTACCTGTGATAAATTGGCGATATCATTTCTCATTTATGCTATCATTGTAGACTACAATCTCCTTTCCAATCTCCTTTCCTTTAGCTTTTCTATCATCTTCTGAACCTCCTGGGATTTCGTCCCCATTGATGAAAGTCATATTTTGTTGTTGTTGGCATTCTGACATCCAAACACAAATTAAGATAAATTTGTTATAACTTTCATTCGTTCAACTTACATTAATATAGTGAAATATTTATAGTTCCATAAAATCTATAGGTCTATTACTTGTTGGAATTGATTATTCCAGATCAATTGAGTTCATATTCAAACCACAAAATCAATTGCAACCAATTATAAACTTGAATATAATCCCATATCAATTCAGAGGAATAGAATAGAATGTGATAGCATACCTGAATAGATAAATCCATAGTCACAAGATTCCATATGTTGATGGATTGGCATACTCTGATCTTCCAAATTATAAACATTGCAAACTTCCTTATGGTTCTCTGGAAGGAGTCAAAGAATTAGTTACTCGTTATGCTCAATCTGAGGATCACAATCTCTATTTATAGACTTAAGTTTGTGTTATCTATGGTTTGGCCCCTCAACAAATTATAAATGTCACTCCGGTCTCTATACATTAATTCCATAATAATTACACCCCCTTAAGCCTTAAAACTTTTTCAAATAGACCACTTTATTTAGGCTAAATTATAATAATGGCCACACAGTACATGTTTAATTTTTACATGCGTGGCGTCACATGTTAATTTTATTCCAACATTACCTTGTTGACTAGTTGAACCCTCAGACAATGGTGTCTCCCAGCAAGGACGCAATGAGAGCCACTTGCTTTCTTCAAAACTGTGACCTGTTATAGTTACATTATTCTTTTAAGAAATCTGCATATATACTATTGAGTATACTTGTTGATATTACTATATCATATATGCATCTACCTTGGTGTCATCACCACCATGCTTTGTAAATGGTAACACTAGTAATGAAGTATCATTTGCATTCAGATTGTCAAACATTGCTTTAATAGAAAAATTCAAGGAGAGCCACTTATATCCATTATTTCTATCATTTGCTGTCCTTAGATAGAGTTGTGAAGCACCTTTGAGTTATAAAGTTGAACAATGAATACAACTATGTAGGCCAATTATAATAGTACATGTAACCTATCTTGGTTGGCTATGGCATTAGCATATACCTAAAAGTCATGAAGGATTAGGACGAGTAAACTAGGTTTTTACTGCTATTATATTCTCTTTTATAGTCTTCTACATAAGATGCTAGTGGAACTTGAAATGCATGAAATGGTAAATAGAAAGTTGACAATGGGAAAAAAAGGATAAAATTATAACATAAGGAAATATGTGATATATCAAAAGTTGTATTCATGTAGAAATTGGTAAAAATGTAGTTTAATATTGAAGCCAGTGGGTTGAATTTGTACCTTGATTATTAATTATTTCACTAGCAGCATTGGCAAATTGGATTTCAGGTGTGATTGTGTCAATCTCATTATGATTGATTGAGCAACTTCTTCCTCTCTTTGTGCATCTACAGGTAGCTAAACCCTGCAAGTAAAATGTCATAAATTGAAACTCAATTAACAAGAAAGTCCAAAGTTATATGAAGTGTTAACATAAATATATATATATATATATATATTTATGAGCTTACTGATGCAATATTGTCATCCCCCATCAACATTCGTTTCTTGCCAAGTGCTAGTTCTTTCTCATTCATCCTTGTACCGAATTGTTCTATTGAAGGACAATTATTTTGTTCAAATTACATCGATTAGTGCTTTACAACAGAGACTGAGAATAAAATTTTCTTAACAGTTAATTTGCCTATGTTCTTTTAACTGTTATGACATACATATTTAGTTTTAACTGAAATATTTCTTGATATATTCCAAACTATAATTATTTGCCTAAGTCACACATGATTTTGTCTTGACATTGCTAATTGGACATTATGAATTATGATCAAGAGAACTTTAAATAAATAAAATCATGCATATATCAAAATTATGTGTGAACATACAAAATTCAGCCACAATGGGCTTGTTTGTTTTCAGATTTTAAAAAATTTTTTTTTATTTTTGAAAATAAAAATTTTAAAAAACCTGTTTGGATAAGTGTTCTCAATCAAATTGTTTTCAAAACTAATTTTTGTTTTTTTATTTTTTTAAAATAGAAATACCATTGTTGTTTTCATTTTATTTTTCTTATTTTCAAAATTCACTACATTTGATTATTTGATTATTAAAAATTATAGTTACTTTGACCAATTTTTATAATAAATTATCATTGTTAACTACTTATAACCATTACAATCAAACTATTTTTTTAATTGTAAAACTGCTTTTAAAATAACAACCAAACTAATTTTTATTTTATTTTTTTGAAAAAACGTTTAAAAATTATATTACAAAACAGTTTTTAAAAACAAAAAATAGAAACAGAAATCAAACGGGCCCAATGTCTCTATTACGAGACAATTTTTTCTGGTGAATAAATAAATGAATGAAGTATAAATAGTTATTTCTAGCAATGATTGCTTATACTTTTCTATATATTCAATGTCAAAAACGACCTGTTTCTTTGGAAAAAATGGATCTTTATAAGTTTAAATAGTCGGAAAACAAAAGCAAGAGAAAAATAATAAACATGGAGAGGTAAAGTAAGTGTCTGGTTTCTGCTTTTAAAAACAAAAACTTGTTTAGATAAGCATTTTGAATTTAATTGTTTCCAAAAATGTTCTCATGAAAATAAAAAAAATAGAAACATTTTAAAACTATTTTCATTTTATTTTTTTCATTTTCAAAATACATTACATTTTATTAATGAAAATTACAATTACCATGACCAATAATTATCTTAAGCCACCATCATAAAATGCTAATAACCATCTCGGTCAATTTTTTAATTTTAAAATTATTTTCAAATTGAGACAGCTAAATAGATTTTATTTTTTCTCTGTTTTGAAAACTATGTTCCAAAATAATTTTTAAAAATATTAAAAAAAACAGAGAATAGAAATCAAGCAAGCCCTGAATTAACGTTGATGATGGCCATGATACCATTATCATCATTGCTGGTGTATTCTGAATTCATATCATCATCATCATCATTTGCTTTGATCTCCTTGATTTCATAATCTATATATTAAAAAAGATTTGCTTCTTTGGGGAAAATGTATCCTTATCCATTCAAAAGATTCCGTAATAAAAAAATTATTGAATCAGATTAATAGTAAAAATAGAGGGAAATAATGCAAATCAAAGTTCATAATAGTATAAGAGAAATGCCAAGATATCATTACCATCACTGTCCATGTATCTTGAATTTATATCTTCACCATCATCCATGTTCTCTGTGATTCTGTAATCTATACGTTACAAAAATACAATAACTAATTAATACTTTTATTTTGGACAACGATACAATTTTGTAAACCACAATTGACAAGTTAAGTGACAATTTATATGTCTATTACCTTGGTGACTAATAGACCCATTATAGAAAGGTGTTTCCCCACATGGAAGCAATGAGGGCCAATTATTATCTTCAGTACATTGACCTACTACAATGAGGGTGTGGTTTAAATCAAGGCGGAAGAAATATTTGACAATTCTCAAATTAATCATCAAATATGTTAATATTAAATTTGATCGTTAATGAAATAATTGTTAAATATTATTAACAATTTTTTATTTTTAAAAGTATTATTCATATTTATTTGAGAGAATAACATTTAAGTCCCTCTTAAAGGAAAACACAGATATGTTGTTATTAAAACTGAACCTCAATTTGTTAAATTTTTGAGAAAGCCCTAACAAAAAATATAAATTAAGATTCAGCTTTTAACAACAATAATCTATGTTTTCACAAGATAATATCCCTTGAGAGGACTTGAACGTCATTCTCCCTATTTATTTGATTGTTATCATGTTCAACTGTCTATGGAAAAAGAATTTAACAGTTTTTTTTATAGAAACCATCAAATATATTATTAGATATCTCACAAGTTTCTATTGTTATTCTAGAGTAGCCTCTGCTCCAAAAAAATCTCTAAAAGTATCATAGCAAATGAATGTATGTATGTACGTATGGTGATTTAAATCCTTAAATACATGACCTTTGAATTGGTATTAATTGCTTTTGTGTTATATGATCCTTTTTACTATTCCCTACACTTTGTAAATTTGCTTAAATCCACTCATTACTGAATTATATAACCTCCTAAGCACTTCAATTACTCGGGGTGTGAAAGCATGGAAATATATGCATGAAGTACATTGCTGCAAATTTTGTAATTGTACATCCTCGTATTTCAAGAACTCTGCAGAATATTCAAAGAATATTCTTTATGAAAAATAAAATGAGTTTTCTTTTCATAACTTTGCCTTAAAAAAAATGTAAGAACAATAATCTGCCCCTGTAAGGCAAGCAATATATTATATATTGCATTAAAGAGAAAAAAAAGAAATTAAAAGAGATATAAATAATTAAAAAGTATAGTGACATGAAATTCACAAGAATAGGGACAAGAGAGCATTATTACCTTGGCCTCCACTAGTTGAATCCGATCTTTCATATGGATCTGTAAATCTGATATCTTCTGTCTCACGAAGTTGTTTCCTTTCATAGACTCCAAACTCTTCTACTCTCATCTGATTGTTCAATGGACATGGAATATGTACATGATTCCAGCAATTTTTTCGGAAAGCTTGTTTCATTTGATCATCCTTAATATTGAAACTCCGCACATCTATGTGATCAGCATCACTTCGTTCACTCGGAATCCCCAACCCACACCAATTTACTCGTTCATTATTGATGTAAATCGGCGTTGTCACAGTATCAACATTTGGTTTAAGAAAAAGAGCAGAAACGCACAGACGTGGGAAGCAGTTACGAAACCAAAAAGAAACAGATTCTCCTTTGCTACGAATATCAAACCACTTTGGAATGCTTGTCCCTGGCACTACAGAACGGACATAGGAAGAGTGTTTGTGTGGAGCCATAAATAATTCCTGTGAATCAAAACAAACGTTGAGCAACATGCACAACAAACTGAAAAGCTGTGAATATCAGAAAATCATAGAGAGAAATTGACCTCGCTCAATAACAATCTTCTCGACTCTAAACTCAACGATATGCAATTTGTCGCTCTAAGAGATGATAAGTTAGGCGGAATCCCTTCAACCTCTCTCAAATACTTGCATTCCCCCAAACAAATATCCCTCAACTGATGACATTCTTTTATACATGCGGGCAAAACTGTGAAACTGCTACCGGTCAACTCTACACTTTTCACATTGATAAATCGAGCAAGATTAATTCTAAGGACGTCATTTGATATATTAGAATACCGATACTCGAAAGTGGTCATGTTTGGACATTTCTTTGACCACAACTCTTGTTCTTGGGCTTCCTCATGATTATATGACAACAAATTTTCACCACCACACACACTCATGTATTTTAGGTTCGGCAATAGAGAAATGCTATCGGGGATCTCAATCCCCTTATGCATTCCGATACGTAAACATTCAAGCTGAGTAATCATGCAAATCGACCAGGGCAATTTTTCTATTCCAGTACCTTCTAAATATAGATATTTCATCACTTCCATTTCTTCAGGTATTTCTGGAAAGTACTTTAGACTCGAGCAATTTTCAAGAGTTATGCTTTCCAAAGAGGGTAACTTGAGGTAACGTGGAAACGTCTTGAGCCGGACACAGCCATCTGCATCCAAGAGTTCAAGTTTTGCTAGATCGCCAATCGAATCATGAATTTCAACTAAATTCTTGCAATCTGCAAGGAGTAATTCCTTCATATTTCTGAGATTGGATAGATCAGGTATCACTGTAATGTATTGACAACCTTGAAGATTCAAAACACTCAAATTGTTTGAATTCTGCAATAACCAGAGCTATCTATAAAGCTTTAAAAAAAAGGAGAAATTATTAAATACAATTTAGCTAACAAGAAATGCTTATAAGATAGGGTTATTTTACCTTGACTATTTCCAGGGAACTCAAATTACTATTCCCAATGTCGAATTCAACAAGCTTCTTTGGACGAAAATCAGTGGGCAAATATGAAGAAGGATACCCTTGCCACTTGAGCACTTTTAAACTATTAGGAAGATATTTGGGACTTTCTGAGCATTTTATATTGTTAAAAATAAGAACTTTGAGATTTTTCATACTCTTGAAGGCCTCTCCATCCCAATCTACTTCCATGCATTTGAGCCAATTATCTTGAATTATAATATTGACTTCATTTGTGCCCTTTCAAGCCAATAATAAATGCAAATAATGAGATATTGGAAGTTTGATGCAAATCATGACTACCATGACTAGCATTAATTCGTCACAAATTCAAAATCAATGACATACAAGGGAGGTGCAACAAGTAAATATAAACCGAGCCCCCAACCCAATCCATTTTTTTGTCCTAGACCCAAACCGGTGTTTCCTTACCTATGCATAAATTTTACTTATTTATAAATAATCCTAATTATTCTTGGTTTATATATAAAGAATTTACATGTTGATATATCTAGCCAATTCTAAATCTATTAAAACTATACACCATCATCATTTTATTAGGTCATTAAAAATTGATCATCTTATTTTTTTAACTTTTCAATTTTTTTTAAGATTAACTTACTGATTATATATTTATTTTTGTACGTTGTGAAATTTTTCTTCAATTTTAATATCATTAAATTGATTTTTTAAAGAATTTTTTCTTTTATTATATAACACTCTTTTTAATGAGGCATTTATCTATCAAATCTCCAATAAAATAAGTTAGATTTTTAAATCCATGACGTACTTTCAATACTTGGTTAATGTCTTTAAATGATTGTGAAATGTCTCCACAATTTTTATCATTTTATATGATTTTTTTTAAAGGATTTTTCTTTTAAGATATACACTTTTTCTAAAAAAATAAAAATAAAAAAATTAAACACTTAACATAACAAATATACATAATTGAAAGTCATTAGATAAAAAGAGAAAAATAAATGCTATCTTCGTTAAAACTAACCTATTCACTGTACAAATCCATCATCATGTCACGCATCATGCATCGTCTAAAGTCCTTATAGGTAAAAAAATCTTCTAAAAAACTACTCCACATTCAACCCATTATATTCTCTGTTTAAATTCTATGCTTCAATTTATAAGACAAAAGAACAAGTGAACAACTTCACATAACAAGGGGAATAAATATAAATATCATCAATGAAATAAAATTACCAAGAAATTTTAAAAGGAACAATAAAATTACAAGATTGAGAAAAAGTGGATAATTTCAAATACTTACAGTATTGTCTTCCAAAACATGAACAATATCTTCATAGAACCATAATCTACTACGTTTTCCAGGCTCATTTGGTGACTCTTGATGAACAATTTCTCTCCCCATGTCTCGTATCAAGTCATGCATTTCAATGTAAGAGTTTTCAATATTTATGAGGCATTTATCCTCCAACACTCCAATAAAATAATTTGCATTATTGAAACCATGAATTGCTTCCACTGTATGCTTAACATATTCCAAAGATTCCATTTTGAAGAGACAAGCAATATCAAGAAATATTTCTTTCTCAAACTGTTTGAGGCCATCATAGCTTACTTTCAATACTCGTTGTATGGCTTCATCAGGAATTAATTTAGCTGCATCTAAGGCAGATTCCCACTCATTTATATTCCTTCCGCACATGTTAGAGCCTATAACTTCAAGGGCTAGTGGAAGGCCTTGTGCATACTTTATTGCTTGATTTAACACCATCATGTGACTTGGATTAACTTGGTTATTTCTGAAAGCATTCCAATTTAACAATTCGAGAGATTCTTCATCATTGAGAGCCTTCATATCATATATACTTTTAACCCCGTGTCTTACAAGTAAATGCTTATCCCTTGTCGTTATAATGATCCTACTCCCACCATTAAACCAATCACAATCACCAGCTAATTTCTCTAGATGCTCATGTTTGTCAACATTATCAAGAATCAAAAGGATTTTCTTATGTTTGAGTCTCATCTTTATTACTTCAACTCCTTCATGAGCATCTTGTATTTTCACGTCCACTCCTATAATCTTGGAAATCATTGTCTCTTGCATTTGTTGTAGGCCAAGCTTGCTTGACTTTTCTTTGATGTCATGAAGAAAGCACATGCCATCAAAATTATTAGCAACCGAATTATATACCTCACGTGCTATTGTTGTTTTACCTATTCCCCCTATTCCACAAATTCCTACCATCTTGACCTCTTCATTTGATCCAATTTCTAATGAAGACTTTATACTTACAACCCGAGAATCTAATCCAACAGGATATCTAGAAACATATAAAGGAATCCTATCAATTTTACTAGATATTTCTGTCACATTCCTTTCAATTAACTGATATTCATAACCATGCCTGAAAAATTAACAAGAAAATTATGCTTATTTACTTATAACCTATTAAGCTAGGCAAGGGGAAAAAAACAATTTAAAAGTTATGAATTACCTTGGATCAAAATGGAAGCCAGAAATGTTAGACACTTCAGTCAATGCATGCTTCCAACTTTGTATCTTCTTCTCATCAGCTTTGCGGTTTTTTGCATGCATAGATAGTGCTCGCTCATAATTGTCCTTTTGATGGCGCACTTCTGAAGGCTCCAAATCATAAAAAATTGGCAAAACCAAACGACCATTTCCCTTAATGCACTGATAGATCTTAACAAGCTCATCTAGACAAAATGATGAGGTAGCATAGTTCTTAGAAAATATAGTAATGGCCATCCTAGAATTTTCGATTTCTTTGAGAAGTGCTGGGGTAATTTCATCCCCTCTTCTTAGTTTCTCATCATCAAGGAAGGTGCGAATTCCCTTTTGACTTAGAGAATGATACAAATTTCCTATAAAACCGTAACGAGTATCTTCGCCTCTAAAATTGATAAAGACATCGTAAGTCCATTGGTAGTGGAAGGAAGATGTTGTTGTTAATCTAGCCATGGTGGCTTCCTAGCAATAGAAAAAAGGAAACCAAAGTTAACTTACCCTAAAAAGGAAAAAGAACTATGTGAGTAGTGAGACCGGAAGATATGGAAATTACTCTACTTTATTAATCTAAAAATTACTCTGCAGTCTCTGCTAGAACATATATTGAAGCTCCGGAATTTAAAATAACAGATGTAATGAGGATTGGGTGAGAAAGTCGAAGAAATTACCTGAAGAATTAAGCCCAAATGACACAGCAACGTTGAATCAGCAAAACTCAGATGACGTTGGATTGTTGTGAGAGGGAAGACGTCGTCGGCATTTTTAAGAGCTTTGATTGCTCCAACTCAAATCAAAAGCAAGAGATTGATGCAATGAGACGACTCTATAACGACTATCGGTTTTCTTTTCCCTTATTTAATATGCTACGAATTTACATGATAACTTGTGAGAATTTTCTAAGAAACAAGTATAAGAAACCACCAAGGAAAGCACGAAGAAGCTCGACAAGAAGACTACTGGAAAGACTCACAAAGCCTACTTTATAGTATTGGAGATAGGCTTCACATGGAAGTCTCAATACTAAAAAGCCTAGTCGTACTTTAGATTTGATTAATAAGGCGCATTTTTTATTTAGTTCCTGTTTGAATTTCAATTATAATTAATAACATTTAGAGATTAAAATTATGATTTTTTAAAAATATCTAAATATATTTATTATATAAATAAAATAATATAAATAAATTTAAATTGTTAAACTTTGATTTAAACAATTTAAAATTATAATATGTTATTTATATATTTTTATGTAAAATAATAATAATAATTTTATCAAAATTAAATTAAAATCATTAAAAAGTTTTGATCCAAAAGCGATTTATTAAAAATGAGAGAAGGTGAGTGCAAGGGATAAAGAAAGATCCTTGATGCCTTGAAGCCGGAAGTAGAAAAGCAAGGGGATGTGGGAAAAGAATTGGAGAAAAGCAAAATCATGCTAGCAGGACATAAGTTGTAACATCTTTTTAGAAAGTTTTTAGAAGCTGCGAATAAAGGTAACCTTTTTTTAAAAAAAAATATTTTGATTTATTTATTCAAAGTGACTTAGGGTGTGTTTGCATATTCATAAAAAAATTAATTCATAAAAAAATTTATTTAATGTGATTGATTTTAAATATAATTAATTCTATTATATGATATATAATTGATTTATAACATTGATTAATGTGATTTTTCTAAAAAGAATTGAAAATAAGAATTAAAAATAAAGTAAAATTATAATTTTGTAAAAATATATCCAAATATTTTCGTTATATGTCAAAATTAATCATAAATTTAAAATTAGTATTTTTTTTCACGAGAAATAACAAAGCGCTATCATGGAAACAATGGCTGTGAAGCGGAAATGCATAATTCGATGAAAACTGAAAAGTTATACTTTGCTCAAAAAGTCCAATGACCATAGCATAATGAACGGCCCATCTATGTAACAACACATATGCCCTCTCTAATTATTAATAAATAATCTTTTAATTTTTATAATATAAAAGGCTTAGTTAAATAAACTTTTTTTTCTTCACTGTATTGAAGATTACAAATATGAACCGAGATATTAAATTTAATAGTTACTAAAATTATAAATTATGAAATGTTAAAATTTGATATAAATGATTTACATTTGCAATAAATGTATTTCAGAGAAACAAAATTAGTTGTATTTGTTAATCAATTTATTCTAAGTCTGGAGTTTGAGTCCTACTATTTTAAAATATACAGTCACATTAAATAAATATATCAAAAGATTCTCAAAATATTTATGAGATCATTGTTAGTAATAACAATTCCATATAGGGGGATTTCGTAGGTGATAATACCTCCAATTTTCAGAATATGGAATGATGGAATTAAAAAAAAAAATCAGTTGCATTTTATCACAAGAGAGCTACTGTATAATAAAATAATCGTATTTGAAAATTAACAAAGCACTGAGAAAATACTAGACATTTATATTAGATGTTAGCCTTTATTGATTAAATTATTTGGAGCCAATCATTTTAAAGAAATGAGCGTTTACATGACTAAAGCATTATTTGTTGTTATTTACATATAATTTTTCAAAATGTGCGTGTATATATATGTTTAAATTCCTGTAGTGAAATTTCAAATTAATTTGAGCTTTATTTATAATGATGTCATATCCATGCTCTTTTAATGAAATTCTGCCAATAATCTAATTCTGAGAAAATATTTTACAAAACTTCAAAGAATTTTCTCAGAAACAAAACTGTGTTGTGTGTGATGCAATGTGAAAAGTGCTAATTGAAAGAAAGATGGAAAGGATGAATTATAATAGCAGGCTTCACATGGAGAGCCTCAAAGAATTCTTTCATTATTGTGAAAATGTCCCCATGAGTGAAAAGAGTCAAATATTTGATCATTAATTTCTAATTGTTGATATAAAACATGCAGCAACCATGATCTTGCAAAGGCAATGTATATTTCATCAGCAAAAATAGTAAAATACTCTTCTTCTTTCTTTGTTTTTCTTTTGGGACACTCGCCTTAGAATATAAATTATTAAAGATTCATAGATGATTTTTGAATTCCAATACATTGGTCCTTATGACCAATTTTCCCAAAATTACTTACAATAACCACATACTTCACATGGGTTATTAGTTATTACTATTTTTACCCACAAGCATCATACTATTATTGGAGGTAATCATGTTCGAAATACTGACAAATATTAAATATTAGCATCTTTTTCACTGGATATTCAAACTTTAATTCTTTACATTGTAATAAATTAGTTTCTTTTACTAAGTCTAACTCCATTGGTCACTATTACTATTTTAGATTGACATGTTTTGGAATGATGGAATGGACAATAAGTATTAATGAGGATGCATGATTGGAAATGGATGAATTATAAGAATGAAAAAAATACAATAACAATATCACACTATTCTTAATAACAAGTTTGGGTATTTTGGAAAAAATGATATAATATGATAGATATTTTTAGGGGGAGGGGAGATTAATTGCCCTTTAAAATTCAAGCATATTTGAAGCAAAAGGAGATTGGGTAAATTTCTACCTAGTGACCAAATTCATAAGTTATTTAGTCATAATGACGACAACGGTACAATCCATAGGACCAAAGTTTACAAGTAAGATAATATTTACAATTATTTACCACTCAAACAACATAAATTTAATTATAAGTAGAATTATGAGTATTTGTCATTAGGAATAAATAATTTTAAAATTTGGTTCTTAAAATTTTCATGACAAATGTAATCATTAAATTTTATAATTTAAAGTTAATAATTATCATTAACGTGAATTTTAAATTTCTAATAATCACTTTTTTAAGATAAGTACATTAATTTTTTATAGGGCTTTAAAAAAAATAAAAAATTTCAACTCACCAACCATGTAAACCAGCTGGATGCACCAACGTTATTATGTGACTTTTTATCTGTGAAGTGACGAAGCACTTTCACCTTCACAAAATGCTGACAATGGCGATAAAGTTTTTCTATTTTTTGAAGAAAAATTAAATGAATTTTTTTGAACCATGCGTTTTCTTTTGAAAAGATTATAGGAAAGCACAATTATTATTTTTTTGGAATAAAGCATACATTAGTCAAAAGAAATTACAAAACAAAATCACTTTTTTATATAAAATATACTCCTGCAGTTCAAAAATATAAGACATTTTTTAAGGAGTTGAATGTTTAAAAATATGAAGCATTTTAGTCTTTTGAGGTGTAATTATTATTCTTTTTTTAAGTACCCCTATTGATAGTAACTTTATATTTATCATAGGGTGTTTAATAGAGATAAATATAGAAAAATAGGATTAGTTTGAATGTAGGTAACTACTTTATTGAAAGGTAAGATTCGGTTAAAATATCTTATACTTTTAAAGGGAGGGAGTAATTAGGAGAAATGTAAATTTACATGAATAAGTGTGTACGTTTAACTAGTATTATAATTATAATTTGTGTTATTCATTCAATAATTCTAACCATATGATAAAAAAAAAATACACAAACCTCCCTGAAGTTAATTAAGGTCAATCGCATATAACTTACCTTATCTTCAAAAGTTTAAACCTCACAATTAACCTAATCAAGAGTATTTGGTAAATGAGATGGAATTTTGGACATTATATTACTTAAATACACAAAATCTATAAGGCAAGGGTGTGAGACAAGGGAGGTTATATACAATTAACCTTAAGTTGAGGGGGTTATATACATTTTAACCATCTAAAAATTAATCTGCTAGAACCCATAAGCTATATATTAAAGCTCCAGAATTTAAAATTACAAAGATAGTAATTTGGTGAGAAAGTTGAAGAAATTACCAGAATGATACAGCTGTGTTGAATTAGGAGAGGTTAGGGGACGTCAACTCATTCAGAGAGGGAAGGTGTCGTCGGCATTATGAAGAACTTTGTTTGCTCCAACGCAAATAAAACCAACAGCAAGAGATTGATGTAATGGGACGACTCTTAAAATGAATGTTGGTCTTTTCCATATTCAATTCGTTGCAAACCTACATATACGTTACTTGTGAGAATTTCTGAGAAGCAAGTATAAGAAACCCTAAAGGAAACTATGAAGAAGTTTGGTAGGAAGATGACAGGAAGGACCCGTGGAGATTACTTTACAGCATGAGAGTTAGGCTTCACATGGAAGCTTCAACGAATTAATCTTTGTAGTTACAATTCACTTAAAACTTGGTTCTGAAAATACTCCTATGCTGGTGTGTTTATTAGTCACTTCAACATGTTTCACGAAAATTAAAAATATTTTAAAATTTGTTAACACTCTTAAAATTTAATAACTTTTTTAATTTATCCCTATTAAGTATAAGATAAATGAGAAAATTATCATTTAAACTTTAAATCCAATATCATAAACATTGAACTTATTTATTGTGTAGATTATTCCTTCAACATTTAAAAGCGGTGTAATATGACCCATAAAAATTAATTGGTAGGA